TTTTATTGTCCTCATTTGTAAGTTGCTTTGGATAAAAGCATCTGCTAAATGACTAAATAAATAAATATATATATATATATATATATATATATAATTATTTTTTTTCCCTTAAAGAAATAACATGGCATATGCCAGAAGTTGTGTATTTGTTGCTGTACCGCCTCTTTTGTGAGTGACAGCAGCTCCAGATCATCTGCAAACAAGAGCCATTTGACTTCAGTGTCTAGTAGAGTAAAACCAAGTGCTGCAGGCTGTTGTCTCTCTATTTCTCTCTCTCCCACATATTGTGGACAAGTGTTCCTAAGCTTAGTCCTTGATAAGTACTTTGTTTGAATCACAGCTCTCCACCTCTACCTTTCCCAGACACATAAAGCGTATCCTTCGAGATATTTTTTTCTCCGGTAACTCTGACGTTTTCAAACACTGCATGAATTACTGAGTGATGGTAGTTAAGTTTTATTGCAGCCACATCAAGTATAATTTATGCCACAGGTGGAGGTAAAAACGTTTCCTCACAGGCTTTTCAAATAATTTTTGTGAAGACCAATTGATCTTCTCTGTCTCTCTGATCTTAGTTTAAATGAACTATTATTAGGGACAAAGAAGTGTAGTAGATTGAAAGCGGTCCAAATAATCATATGGTGGTCTCCCAGCCATCACTTAAGCGCCCCTATCAGCAAAAATTGACTTTTTTTCTGTTCATATAACCCTTTGGTCTAGACTAGAGAAAAAATTCCTTCTTCCCACATTCATAGTTGATTGAACATTGTGTGTTCAATATCCACCATACAAATCTTCTCACTAAATTTGTCACAGATGTTCAGACCAAGTCTTACAGAGCATATTGAAGTCGTTTTTATTTTCATTAATGTGTAGTGATCATAAAATCATACAATCTGATTAATATACTTACGCTTTATGGCCTAAAGTCATGTGTCTGTTGTCTTTAGATTTCTTGAGCCCAGTGATACCGTTTTTTAAAGTGCAGCCATATTCCCTGTCTGCCATTTTGAATTGTAATGTATATTGCTGTGTCTTACCAAGACTTTGGTGTATTGAAACAAAGCTTGGTAGGCATGATTGGCATCATGCCCAGAGGGTACCTGAGCAGTTTGGGGATAGCGCCACCTTGTGGTCAAAGAAATTAAAAGCCTCAGCCTCTTACTTGTCTGACATTTATATAATGATGTTTTTGTTGTTCCTCCTAATTCGTTTATATCTTTGCTACATTTGACTTGAGGGACCATGCACATTTGACGTCGGACCATGCACAAAAGTTATTGAAACTTTTCAAAGTCAAGAATCAACAGCAAATAGGAAAAGATGTATCTTCATAACACTGTCATATATGGACACAAATTAGTTGTTTGGAGGTTTGTTTTAACATTGTTACAAATTGGCCTAAAATCTGCTTCTGTACAGTACAGATTTCCTCTGGCTTGCAGAGTATGATGGTGTCTCCATGTCTACCATCTGCCAAATTGGATTTTGATGAAAACTGTTCTCCTTGCACAAATGTTGTCCAATTCTTTCCAAATTTGGCTCAGAGGATCTTCAGACCACACCGGACATCACATTTATTCTTTGTATTCAGAATGATCTGGCTGTTGCAGCAACATAATTTTCTTAATTTAAGAATTAACCGGTTGTCCATTAATCTGAATATAAGGATTGTTTAAGGGATTTTATTATTATAGTAATTTAAAGCCTTTTTATTTTGTGCTTTGTACAGTAAATACATGTAATGTTATGTGTCAGTAAAGATGATTAAATACATATATATATACTTAAAAAACACAATGTAAATAAGCCTGCTGTTACCTGTTCTTTGAAAGCAGTGGATCATATATTAGGTAGGCAACATGTGACAGAATGCATGACACATTGCCAGCTCAGTGTAGCTCCACAGCAGTCTTCCAACCACACAGAGCAAGACCTCCTCAGTCTGTGGTGGTCTGAGGCATCACATGTTGACAAAGAGGGTCGAGAGGGACAAGTGGAGCACGCTGAGCTCATGTCGCAGATGAGCCTGTTAATCTGCAGTGTTAATTGCATCTCATCAGACCTCGCCGGCTCTGTGTGAGTCTGAAGGAGTTTGATGTGAGCGCTGACAACTTATTCAGTAAACCCCCCAAAATATGACTGTTATAATTACAGTAGATAGCGAGTGAGTTTAAGTGGGTATGTCTTGCGAGCGTGGTGAATGGGTGATGCTGTCAGTGTAATTGTGAGACAGCTCACCCCCATTCTCATCGTTGTTCTTGTCAGCCTTTCTGCACTTTAATGGCAACCTCTTTGACCCACTGTTAGCTCATTGAGGTCTGAGGGGACGATGCATAAGATTAGCGAGAAAGATATAAATGTTCAATTGCGTAGCTGGTGTTTTGCTGGTTTATATAAAAAGGATTACAGCAAAACAAAACAATTTTCCAGTCGGCTTTAAAACCCATGTAACAAAAAAACAACAACAACAAAAAAACATTCATTGGTTTTGTTATTGTCAAATTATAACAGGCATCAGTAGAAAGCCAACCCCTTGATCTTTTCTACAGATTTCTCCCTCTACCCATCCCAGAGGTGGTTTCTAACCTGGTTGTTATTTTATAAAATGACCAGCCTTGGATGCAGATTAAATATCCCTGTGAAGTCAAGACCACAATGTCCTAATGCGCACTGACGATCAGAAAATTACTAGCTTGCCATGAGTGCCACTCTGTAATGCATTTCAGAACAAGACACGTAAATAAAAGAAGGGCAAAGATTTGTTGTTCTGGAGAGATGAATGATTGACAGAGAGGGGCCAGAACAGACTTTGTAGCATTTATGGGAGACTTGATTTATGGACCTGGAAAAGGATTTTACCAAGTTAAAAACAGATGCCTGTATACCAGGGTATAAAACATACCATAGTAGGCCTATCACCCTATTTTTGGATATCATGGTAATACCATGGTTTTGGAACCCTTTACAAAAACTGTGGTGGTACCATGGTACAGTGATGGTATCAGATGGTAATACTATGGTACTTTGACATATACTATGGTAGTGAAATTTATGGTACTTTATGGTATTTCTAAGAATACCACAGTACATGCTCAAAATACTTTTGTGATTTTTAAGATATATATCATGTTAATACCATGGTTTTGGGACATGTGCCATGTTAATACCATAGTTTTTGGACATTTGTCATGCTAATACTAGTATCATTTTAATATTATCTATATACTATTAAATTAGCTTTTATTTTTATATTTAGTTTAAGTTTTATACATTTTATGTGCTTTTCTCATTTTTATTGATTTCCATTTATCGATTTTCATTACTTGGTTTATTTATTTATATCCGTTTATTTTTAAAGTGATAGTTCACCCAAAAATGAAAATTACCCCATGATTTACTCACCCTCAAGCCATCCATCCTGTCATCCGCTGGAACGCCACTCTCTCGTGTATGCAGTACGTACGACAGTTAGTGCAATTTCGAGATTACAGTTTGTAAAGTTTTAAATATGGATATTTTTCTTACAAAAATGCATAGATTCACTTCAGAAGGCCTTTATTAACCCCCCGGAGCCGTGTGGAGCACTTTTTATGATGGATGGATGCACTTTTTTTGGGCTTCAAAATCTCGACCACCATTCACTACCATTATATAGCTTGGAAGAGCCAGGACATTTACTGTATGTATATATATATATATATATATATATATATATATATATATATATATATATATATATATATATATATATATATATATATATATATATATATATATATATATATATATATATATATATATATATATATATATATATATATATATAAGAAGAAAGTCATATACACTTAGGATGGCTTGAGGGTGAGTAAATCATGGGGTAATTTTCATTTTTGGGTGAACTATCCCTTTAATTTATTTTTATTACGATAAATAATAGTTTTAGTTTCAGTTAATGGTAACAGTACTAGCTAGTACTATATACCATGCTAATACTATGGTTATGGAATATGTACTTTGCTTG